AAATTATGTTTTTTGAAAATGTAAAAATGCTGATTTTTGTTTTGTTTTTTTGTGATGGGTAGGTTTAGGATTACGGGATAGATTATACAGTTTGTGCAGTATAAAAATCATTATGTCTATGTAAAGTCCCCCAAAAACATAACGTGTGCATGTGCGTGTGTGTGTGTGTGTATTAGGTAATTACAGGTGAGGTGTGTGAAGTGTTACACTGATGACACTCTGATGAGAGGGATTTGTTGATTCACCACCGGCTTTGCGGTAATCTGACAACCTGTGTGAGTTCAGTAGGACATACTGACACTCTAAAACAATAGAGCCGCTGTATGTGCAGTTAAGTACAGGGAGGGGTTGCTCAGGTTATCACCTTCCCAGAATCTCCCGAGACCGGAGATGTGATTCAGTCTGACAGTCAAGTGGGGGGTCACAGATGTTACTCGGTTCATGAAGGACTGTCTGGTCACACTGGTCATGTCTTTTTTTCAGTTTTTTAGTATTCAGTGTTCTTTCACATTTGCGCCATATCTCCTTTAAAAATTAGCTGTGTCACATTTCTTATAGTATGCAAATAGTATTCTAAATAGTATGCAAGAGAAGAGTTAATGCATCCCAGAAAGAGGTGGGCATCTGCCGATGATTTTAAATAAAAAAGTTTGCATGTTAATTTAGCAAATTAATTTATGGCAATGGCAGTCAACAGAATAAAAAAATTAAAATAATCATATATAATATTTTTTTTTTTCCTGGTAGATTTTTGCTGTACTTAAAACGTGCATGTTTTTTTAGTGAATAAGCCAACAACCTGTTGCATAACAAAAAAGGAATAATTTTTGGCAGTTCGGCATGTTTTCTTACTACATTCCTATGATGTGCTTTTGTCGGCAAAGTGCTTTTATGTGTAGTAGGACTATATGAAATGGGATACGTTTGCTAAAGCCGTTAGACTTCCTGTCATGCTTTGTTCAGTGGGATATTTTTCGAACTCAGTGCACTCTAATCAGTACTGTAATGAATAACATGATTATTGAATTTACACAATAATAAACAAAGTCTGAACCACCGTCTACAATTCCTGACTCGCTCCCTGTAATTAGGCTGTTCACGTTAACGAGAAAATGGCTTTTTCATTGAAAAGGAGCAGCAAATAGAACAGTTTTTGCATCATGTACAGACCCCTTTGTGCAAGCAGCAATTAGATGTTTAATTTAAAGCTTCAAAGCCATTTTATAATTATACAGATCTGACCAGAATGTAAAAGGGATTCTGACATAATGTACAGGTAAAAGGACTGTTTTTGTCTTGTGGCAAAACCTCAATAGGGTTTGGTGTGATTGACAAGTTGCAGTGTGTTTTACCATGTTCAACGATAAGTGATTTCATGTGCAGCTTTCAGTTTATTAGTGATTCTGCAGTAGAAACGGAGCATTATGGTCCGGTGGAGATTTCTGGAAGTTAGTAGCACTCATTGGTGGATGGCCTGTGGGTTTTTGGCCTCTCATGACATCCACATTTCGGTCAGCTTTGCACTCTCTTCCCTGATAAATCATTTATAAAGCTTGCATCGTTTGCATGGACTGAGTGCACTTGGACAAAAACATAACAGTGTACACTTTGTACAGCTTTCCATGAATATCTGAATTCATTTTGTCACTAAAAAACTAAAATTGGTTTCTCAACCCTTGGCTGAACCATACAAATATCTCCACACGGCTTCATGATATACTTCCTGCAGCGAGGTTGATGTCCTCACATCGGAGTTTATGTGGAAAACCAAAAAAAAATGTTTTATTGTTTTTGCCCAATTCATACATAAATTCATTATGGCCTTTCTCATCCGCAGAACTTGGCCTGATAAAGATGTCCATGGTTTATTCTTTTTGGTATGTTCTCATGCCTTGAAGCTTGCAATAAAATATTTCTAAAAACCAATACAGGATCTTTCTGAAATTGTAGATACTGTATGTCGCATGCAAATATGGACAGCATCAATTTTTTTAAGTTTGTCTTTTTGATGGTCTTCTCACTTCCGTTTTAGCAATTTTATGTTTGCTACTGTATCTCTAGAAAAATTGAGATAGCCATTAAACATGAAAGTATTATGCAATCATTTAAGATATTTCTCCTTATAGAAACTCTTTGGCATATAAAGGGTTCTTTAAAAATTGATCCAAGAACCCTAGGGATGTACACTCAGCGGCCACTTTATTAGGTACCCCATGCTAGTAACGGGTTGGACCCCCGTTTGCCTTCAGAACTGCCTCAATTCTTCGTGGCATAGATTCAACAAGGTGCTGGAAGCATTCCTCAGGGAGTTTGGTCCATATTGACATGATGGCATCACACAGTTGCCGCAGATTTGTCGGCTGCACATCCATGATGCGAATCTCCCGTTCCACCACATCCCAAAGATGCTCTATTGGGTTGAGATCTGGTGACTGTGGAGGCCATTTTAGTACAGTGAACTCATTGTCATGTTCAAGAAACCAATTTGAAATGATTAGAGCTTTGTGACATGGTGGAAGTAGCCATCAGAGGATGGGTACATGGTGGCCATAAAGGGATGGACATGGTCAGAAACAATGCTCAGGTAGGCCGTGGCATTTAAACGATGCCCAATTGGCACTAAGGGGCCTAAAGAGTGCCAGGAAAACATCCCCCACACCATTACACCACCACCACCAGCCTGCACAGTGATAACAAGGCATGATGGATCCATGTTCTCATTCTGTTTACGCCAAATTCTGACTCTAACATCTGAATGTCTCAACAGAAATCGAGACTCATCAGACCAGGCAACATTTTTCCAGTCTTCAACTGTTCAATTTTGGTGAGCTCTTGCAAATTGTAGCCTCTTTTTCCTATTTGTAGTGGAGATGAGTGGTACCCGGGGGAGTCTTCTGCTGTTGTAGCCCATCCGCCTCAAGGTTGTGCGTGTTGTGGCTTCACAAATGCTTTGCTGCATACCTCGGTTGTAACGAGTGGTTATTTCAGTCACCGTTGCCCTTCTATCAGCTCGAACCAGTCTGGCCATTCTCCTCTGACCTCTGGCATCAACAAGGCATTTCCGCCCACAGAACTGCCGCTCACTGGATGTTTTTTCTTTTTCGGACCATTCTCTGTAAACCCTAGAGATGGTTGTGCGTGAAAATCCCAGTAGATTAGCAGTTTCTGAAATACTCAGACCGGCCCTTCTGGCACCAACAATCATGCCACGTTCAAAGTCACTCAAATCAACTTTCTTCCCCATACTGATGCTCGGTTTGAACTGCAGGAGATTGTCTTGACCATGTCTACATGCCTAAATGCACTGAGTTGCCGCCATGTGATTGGCTGCTTAGAAATTAAGTGTTAACGAGCAGTTGGACAGGTGTACCTAATAAAGTGGCCGGTGAGTGTATATAGAACCCCATTGAACCTAAGAATATAAAAAGTAGTTTAGAAGCCATAAGGAGGCCCTTGTTGAAAGAATGTTAATTTACCGTACACCGTAGTCAAGTTTTGTAAGGGTAAATTGCATGTAGAAAAAGAGAGTAAATATCTGCACACTGAACACACCATGGAAACAAGTAATGCCATGTTTTTTGGGACGATTCCATGTTGATAATAAAGTAGTATTTTTTAAAGCATCTGATAGCACCAGATATTAGACTTACAGTACTAAGGATGTATTAATATAGTTATCAAAGTTACAATTACCATAGTATCTGATACCATCAATGTAATGCATCCTTGCTGAATAAAAGTATTCATTTCTTTTAAAACAGAACAAAACAATTACTGACCCCAAAGAGTGATCAAGAGTTATTTTCAAAAACAATGAGAAATGGCATATAAAGGAAAAAAGAGTTTAAATTTAGTGTGTGTGTGTGTGTGTGTGTGTACGTATAGTGTATATTGTCAGCAGCGTGACTGTTCACCTCTGATACATCACACAGCTTTGATGTCTCAGAGGCACTTATACGTGTATCCCCAAGGGCTACACACACACACACACACATCTCTCCACAGGGATTTGAGTGTCTGACAGACCCCTCTCTATGGCTCCGACTTGTCATCACACTTATCCTGAAATAAAGTTGCCCTCTCAGAAACAAGCCCTTTCAGTTTCCACGCACCTCACGGCTCTGTAATCCTGACAGCTTCTCTCATTCTCCTTTTAATGTTTTTTGTTGTGTTGTGTGTATGAAGGTCTTTGATGTTTGATGACCTACACACATAAATGTGAACTATAATTCAGTAAAAGCTCAAGCGTTTTTGGTCAAATCTAACATTGATAGCTTCGGTTCTAATATAGGTTATTTTCTTTTCACAAATGTGAACCGGAATTGCAACATTTTCTTGCAGTTTACAATTTTAGTGTAATGCGTAAATATAAATATTTATAAATAAATAAATAAATAAGACACTTTAGATTGACTTTTTATTGACTATCGATTCGTATTTGCAGTGTTATTTCATTTTGTTGTTGATTTAAATGGTGATTTTCTTAAAATCACATTTCTAAGTTATATGTATAGGAAAAGATAGGAAAATTATTTGATTAACTTAAAAAACAAGTACATTTATAAATAAATAATATTTAAATACATTTTAATACAAATTTGTATAAATTTACAATGCAACTTAAATGTAAATACATTCATTCTAAATAAGTAAATAAGTTAGTAATTCAAACCTAATAAGAATTTTTAGCAACTTTTGATTGAGATTGTCCGTTGATTTATACTTGCAGCAGTATGCCATTTTTTTTATTTTTTTTAAAGTACATAAAGACAGATATACACACAGAAATAAATACAATTGCAAATTAGAAAAATAAATACATTTATAAATTTATCAAATATGTTTAAAATAAAATGACATGCATCAATAAGTAAATGAATACATAAACCTTTTTTTAAAGCAACTTTTGACTTACCTTGTCCATTGACTCATACGTGCATTATGTCATTTTTGCTTTTGCTCCTGTTCAATGATTTGATGTGATATTGTTTTGTGAACAGGACTGTGACATGCTGGCTGGAGAGACGACGGCGTGGACATCCTTAAGAGACGCCATCCCTCACCTGGAGCAGCTTCAGTCTGAGCAGCGTATCCTTCACAGTTGAATCAAATGATATTACTGTCTAACACTGTGAGCGATACGCTGGCTATATCTCAGGGTTTAGCTGGGTGAAGGCAACCAGCCTGTAGCGGTTTTGCTCTGGAAACAACTGCTAGACTCTGCAAACTATGCCCGATACAGTAGTCATATCAATTTCCAAAAGATTGAAGTGAAAGGTGTGAGGGTAAAGCTGTCAGTTCTGTCTAGCTCTCTTGCTATTACCCTTTGGACACGCGTCTGATGTATTAAAGAAAATGCAGGCTGTCTTCCTGCTGAAATAACAAGCATAGATTGCATTTTGAAATCTGTTTCCCAACTGGCTTAACCTGCAAGACTTTCTTGGTTTTCTTAACTACTGTAGTTTTTGTAATACAGTCCTGCTTCTTTTTAATTGTGTCCTTAACTGTTTAATCAAAAGACTGGGAGGAGTTGTTGAAAGAGAGCCGAGCTCTTTTGCACAGATATGCAGATGTCATCCCGGACAGGAACATCTATGTGCTCAGGCTGCTGGATCTGGCCATGGATGCTTGTATTAGTCTGGATCGCTACGAGACGGCACTGGAGTACGGCAATAGGGCTCTGGGACCTTACAAGTGAGTGTGTGCCTCTAAGTTCTGTGATCTGTGTCTTCACTGACAGATTATCCTGGTAAATCTCCAAGGAATACACCTCCATCAAATCTATAAATGTCCCATTAGAACTGTGACTCACACAGACTCGCTCATGTCTAAAGATCCAAAACAGACAAGAGCAGATTTAGTTCATAGAAACACTAGGCAGTATTGAAGAATAGATCCTTGTTGTACTATTTATTTAATTAATACATTTGTTTAAAGGGATACTCCACTTTTTTTGGAAATAGGTTTATTTTACAAATCCCCCAGAGTTAAACTGTTGAGTTTTACCGTTTTTGAATCCATTCAGCCGATCTCCGGTTCTGGCGGTACCACTTTTAGCATAGCTTAGCATACATCATTGAAGTGGACAAGACCATTAGCATTTCTCCCAAAAAAATGACCAAAGAGTTTCGATATTTTTCCTATTTAAAACTTGACTCTTCTGTAGTTACTTCGTGCACTAAGACCGACGGAAAATGTAAAGTTGTGATTTTCTAGGCTGATATGGCTAGGAACTATACTCTCATTCCTGCGTAATAATCAAGAAACTTTACTGCCGTACCATGAGTGCAGCAGGCGCAATGATATGACAAACGTAGTCCCGGTCATGTTGGAAGTTACCGAGCTGGGGACTATTTTCAGGCGCTGCGTCATATCATTACGCCTGCTGCACTCATGGTACGGCAGTAAAGTTTCTTGATTATTACGCAGGAATGAGAGTATAGTTCCTAGCCATATCAGCCTAGAAAATCACAACTTTACATTTTCCGTCGGTCTTAGTGCACGATGTAACTACAGAAGAGTCAAGTTTTAAATAGGAAAAATATCTAAACTCTTTGGTCATTTTTTTGGGAGAAATGCTAATGGTCTTGTCCACTTCAATGATGTATGCTAAGCTATGCTAAAAGTGGTACCGCCAGAACCGGAGATCGGCTGAATGGATTCAAAAACGGTAAAACTCAACAGTTTAACTCTGGGGGAGTTGTAAAATGAGCCTATTTCCAAAAAAAGTGGAGTATCCCTTTAAGTTTATTCATTACCAAATGAATAGTTCACTTTAAAATGAAAATTCTGTCTTCATTTACTCACCGTCAAGTTGTTTCAAACCTGTATGAATTTCTTTCTTCTGTTGAACACAAAAGAAGATATTTTGAAGAATGTCGGAAATCAAAACAGTTGATGTACCACATTTACTTCTATAGTAGGAAAAAAATACTATGGAAGACAGTCAATGGGGTCCATCAATTGTCTGGTTGCGTAACAATAGCGTAAGTATCGGATGCCTAAAGGTGCTTGCACACTGAATTTCGAAATTTCCATATGCGTTTTTTCGTATTCGTCATTCGGTGGCACTGAATTGTCAAAACACCTCTTAAAACGCTTGCTACGGATGCGAAAAACGCAGAAAATCGAACCCGATTCAAAAATAATTATGACGGACGAAAGTTACGGACTCAGTGTGCAAGGACCTTAACTGATCAAAATGATGTGTTTCACTTGTTGGATGAAAAAAAAAAAACAACAAAGGCATTATAGTGTTATTCTCTTTTTGACACAACAGTTTCAATATAAACTATGGCATTTTGGGGGGAAATATGTATTGGTTTTGTATAGGATACTAACAGATTTATCATCTCAGGACATTTAAAATGCTTGTACACCCTGCTAGAATATGTTGCCTACCCAAATACACAGGTTTTTATTTTTATTTTTTATATAACCTTTATCAAAAAAAAAAAGCTTGTTCAGCTGTGTTTAAATGGAACAAATGGATCAATTTAGGAAAGGGCAGACCCCAGGTGACATGCACTGCAGGACGGTATTCATCACCTAGCACTGGATCAATGTGCATGACACCAGTCTTAGTTTTGTGCACAGTAGCCACTATAAGACTTCCCGTGAGACGTGTAAAACAGGAAGCTCTAAAACACCAATGGAAACTGGTCTTCTTCTAAAGCGAGGCGTTTGTGAGCGCATTTGTGTAAAGTAAGACAGAAGATCCTCTGTAGGAGGTTTGGGACTCTTCTATTGTGGTATTTCATTTGTGGTTTTTGGGGAAAAAGCTGTTTGGAGAGGTCTCTTTCCCATAGTGCTGAGAATAATGCATTCCTTCAGGCTAAACGCAAAGAGATTATTGACTTCAAGCTCCTGCAGATGTCAATTTGTAGCGGCAGTAGACCTCCAGTGATTTCCACTAAATCCAAAAGTAGACAGTAAAGCAACATTCGGATCAGAGCTTTGGAGTCATTGGACCTTAGAAAAAAGTGAAATTACCCAACAGCTTTTCCCCTGTCAAAGGGAGGAAATATGAATACGGTTGTTATTTTTCTACTGCGCTGGATCCCGTCTTCCCATGTCAGCTCTCACAAAGCGTGAATAAGTTTTTATATTGCCTGTTGGATTCTTATTCTCCAGCTTTATACTGCGTCTGATGAATGTTTATGGTGCCGAGGGAGGGCCGCCAATTGCAAGGAAAAGGAAAAAGTGCTGCTAAAATGGCTTTTTAAATACGGAATCGACATTGAGATTGATGGCTGCCAGTGTCGCCGCAGTTTCCGCTGTTAGTACAACAAGATAAATGCACATTATAAAGAAAGATAAATGCCGCACACAAGAATATTTCAACCATTTGGTCATTTTCATTGCACATCCTTCAAGTGCTGATAATTGCTGCTTTCACAATGATTTCTGCTCTTGTCTTCGGCAAAGAGAATTTAATGTCTGCTCCCCAAAGAGGTTTATATACTGAAAAACTATACTAATAATAATAGATTAAAATGGTCAAAAGTGACTGTAGTTACAAAAGATTTCAGTTTCAACTAAATTCCGTTCTTTTGAACTTCCTATTCATCAAAGAATCCTGAAAAAAGTATCTTGTTCTCCACAAATAAGCAGTTTTCAACATAGTCAATAATGATACATTTTTGTTATGAGAAGCAAATCAGCAATGATTTCTGGAGGATCATGTGACACTGAAGACTGGAGGAATGATGCTGAAAATTCAGCTTTGCCCCACAGGAATAAATTACATTTTAAAATATATTGGAATACTAAAAAGTTATTTTAAATGATAATAATATTTCACAATATTACTGTTTTTACTGTATTTTTGATCGACTAAACTTAGCCGCTGTGAGCATAAGAGACTTCTTTTAAAAACATTAAAATATCTTTCCGACCCCAAACTTTTGAAAAAGTAGTATATGTTGCTTCTTGGATTCCTGCAACTTTTCATTTGCCATCAATGAAGAAAAAGCTTTTTGCTCTCAGAATGGTTTTTATCCCAACACATCACAGATATACTGTAATGTCCATAGCCCGGAGCAAATTTGTCCAACTGCGCCCCGATGTTTTTTCTCCTTTAATTCATTATCATTGCACATGCCCTTATTATTTGCTTGAAAGTGGGGTTTAAAAGTCATCAGAAGTCATAATCCGTCAAACATTTGGGCAGAAAATCAGTAAAACTCACAACAAGGCTGTGAAAACGGTTTTGTTTAAGTGACAGCTCCAGTCATCACTTAACACCGGGCTTCATGACATTCCATTACAGCTTGATTCAGTATTCGTCATGCGCTTTTGTTCTGCCTTTCAGAAATTGTGAGGTTCATTATTGGCCTTGTCTGGGATCCCAAATTATTTCTGGAATTGGCTGGTCCTGTGCTAGCTGTGTGAATGCTTTCTGAACAGGCAATTATTAGCAGCGGCCCTTCCCCACCCTTCTCTTGTCATTGAGGCTTCAAGAGGTCTTGAAAGAGATACTGGCAGAGCGACCACCTGACAAAGCAATAATAGATCCTTCACATCACGAGAGAGCTTGAACAGCATTCCAATCACTTCTCCGCTCAGGAAGAACATTTAATTTGGTTACCTTAAGAAACCTTTCAAAAATTGTTTATCTGTGCTATGATTTATTTTCAAAGAAACTGGTTCCTGTTTTACTTGTTGCATATTAACTAAAGGCGCTGCTGGCTATTGCAAGATAAGTAGACATTTATTTATGCATCGATTCTATTCAGTCAGGCAGTTTAGTGAGAGCCACTGAATTGTTTTAATTGCTCAAGTGCTTAATATATGCCAAGTGATTCATTAGTGCATGCTGTTTTTAGCCAGTCTTTTCACAATAATTAATTTGATTATAAAATTAGCGCTGCAGCTTCATTGCTTATGTATGATGATGCTTTGCATTTCACTTTGAACTTTTATTCAGTCTTTTAAACCTAGACTCAGGGATATTCAATGACTTGACAACTTACATAGTGGGTGATAAGTTTGATTTATGTATCTCTTTTGCAGGGACCAAACACTAGCCAAGCGCCAAAACAGAGCATAAATTTCCTTTATGGGCAAATAATGCTAGTATGTTTCTCAGATGTCTCTAGGATGTTTATTCCTCCTCACGTTTTGTTACAGGTGTACAATATGCTATATATATATATATATATATATATTCACCTAAAGCAGGGGTCTCAAACTCAACTTAACTGGGGGCCGCTGGTGGTAGAGTCGGGGTCAGGCTGGGCCGCATCAAGTATTCCACAAAAAAATAGTATTCAAGTATTACAAAAAAGGAGCACAACTGATCCAATCTTCTCAATATTTATTATTAACGTTTCTTCTGAACTGTTCCTCTGAATTTGAACATTCCTTTCTGTACATGATTGGTTCTTCATGAGCTGTCCTTCTGACAGTTGAAGTTCATTTTACAAACTTTCTTTGTCTATAACACATATTTGTGATATTTATATTTGCTTATGTCCTTTTTATTTTCTTTATACAACACATTAATGATATTGAATGTTTTTTTTTTTTTGGAAGGCACATTTCCTTTTATTATACTTAGAAAAACAATTATTGCTTTTGCAATACAAATATTTGCAGTCATGTCTGCCCGTCTTATTTCATTCTTTCTACACATGTATAGTGTCTCAAATTACTGACTGCACAAATCAAAGCAAACCTTCTTATCAACCTGT